TTTGTTGTCTGGAAAAAATATATATAGATTGCATTTTTNTGAAAAATGCTTTTGCACAGACTTACCTCATTACTTTAACTAAATTATATCAAAATCTCACGGTTTCAGCGTTTTAGTTCAAAAAAAGGAACGGGTTTTAGGTTTTTCAAAATTTTTAACCAATAGATGTAAAGGCTTGAAAATAACGCATGTATATGACATTATAATTATTAATAAAGTCACTCAAAAAAATTGACGTGAGCGTGGCACATCCGGGTAAAATTTTGTTTTTGTCAAAATTTTGTACTTCAAAAAAAATTGTTTGATATTCAATTTTTTTCAAAAATGACTTTACATACAGTTACAACATATATTTAGCTAGTTTATGTTCAAAGCTCATTGATTTCAGCTTAGTAGTTCAAAAAAAGGAACAGGGTTAAGAAATTTCAAATTTTCCATTTTTGACCTTGACCTTTGATGACCTTGACCTTTATTGGGTCAAAGGTCATTGACGTTGTCTATTAGTCTAATGCTCTTATATTTGACCTCTCACGTCAACTTTCGCTTTTATAGCTGTCCAAAAACATCCAAATTCGCAACTTTGGACTGCTCTAGCACGTGACCTAATTAACCTAGAGAGTAAATTTTTTCGGTTTCCAAATGTGCTTCTCGTGTACTTTACATAGATATATAACAATCGTTTTTTTAATCGTGATTTTTTCAAATTTGAGTTTTTTTTTTTTACAATATTTGCGACTTTTTGAGCTTAGTGTATGTATATGTTATGATCTATTTGATGTAGAACCTTGATATTTGGAATATAACTAGACACTTTGAATATGAATTCACCTATGACAAAAAAACTTATGTGGGCGTGGCACATCCGGGTTGAATTACTAATTGTTTACATTTTGGGGCTGGGGCATAACTCGCATAGGATGCGTTTGTTCAAAAAGAGACTTTGCACACAATTACCTCATCCTTTTGGCCAGTATGTATTAACAGCTCAGTTGTTTCAGCTTTATAGTTTCAAAAAAGGAACGGGTTTTAACATTTGGATATTTTTTTCATTTTTCGATTTTGACCTTTGTTGACTTTTGTTGACCTATATCTTTTGACCTCTATTATGTAGGAACTTGACATTTGGAACATAACGTAACATTTTGAATATTGATTAACTTATTCAAAAAAAATTGAGTTGGGCGTGGCACTTCCGGGTTTAATTACTCATTATTGACATTTTTGGCCAGGGGCATAACTCGCAAAGTATACATTTGTTCAAAATTACCTCATATTGTGAGCCACTTTGTCTTAGAATTTCGG